CCTGCTGGAATACACAACATGAGCCAGGGAGGAAAGGGTAGTGAAGGAGCTTCTTCAGAAAATCAGAACCTTTAGAGCATCCGTGGAGCCTGGGGAAGTTAGAGAGAAACACACAGGTCCAGGGCAGATTGAAAGCTCAGAAAAGAGGTGACCGTGAGCCTCCATTTCTGCCAGTCTCAGAAGGGGAGGTAGGAGTATGAACTGTCTAGGTAAGTATTAAGGAAAGACCCAGGACAGAAATGCATGTCACTCAGGATACAGGGCTCAGCTGGCATGTGTAAGGCCCCAGGTTCAACCTGCAGGAGAAACAAAGAACCATACGGAGCCATATTCCAGAGACTGGGAGAGATGGACTTCCATTTAAATATTTTCCAGTTCCTTCAAAGGCAATCTCTAAAACACCGACTGGGCACATACTAACCATACATACACAAAAGCGAAACAATCTTTTCCAAGATACATTGAAAAAAATCATTAATAAATAAGGGGTCAGCTGGTCACATTATTGGATCCAAATGTTTTCAGCAACAATGAAAATAGATAATACAGACAAAGAAATAGAAAAGTTTGTAACAGTCCAAAGAAACAAAACAAAAAACAGAAAATGCCCTTGAAATATGCTCTGAACACATAAGGCGAAGTTTGTAACTCACTGCCATATACACGCTCAAATTCTACAAGAAACTATCTACCAAGAAAACCAAAGGAGACCCATAAAGTAATAGGTGGGAAAATGAGACTATCACTAAAGAGAAAGTATGTTTAAAGGCCAAATGTGAACCATGTAGCTGAAAATTATATGAATTAAAACAAAAGATTCACTCATGGGTTCAAAACTTAAACCTTTCCTGTGAAGTAAGAATTAATAAAGGCAACGGCGCTGTGCAGAGGAGCTCGCTGTGCAGGTAGAGGCGTCCTGTGCTGTCATCAGAAGCTTTTGTGTCCAATGGAACTTTCTGTGGTTTTCTTTAATGTATGCTGCAGAGGGGATTTACTCCTTCTTTAAAGTTGATCCTTGTCAGAAGTGAAACTCTGGCTTCCAAAGCAGAAGCAAGTACCGGCCGGAGTCTCCTGCCTCCACATGTTGCTTCTCCATGCCCCAGGACCGATGCACGCAAAGGGCAGCCACCAATTTTACATAATGGGCTATTTTCTATGTGCGTGGACGCCATGTGATCTGGGAACCACCTCCAACAGCGCTGGATGCTATGATGAGGGAAGGCCCAAAGTTTACTTACCTGGGCCATGGTGTGAGGTTGTTTAGGTAAACGACATCTGTGTGTTTTGTAAGACACCCTTGTTGTTGAAGCCAGCATTCCTTGATTCATTGTTGAAGTTTTTACCTCCAGGACCTGCATCAGTGTGTAGTTTTGATGGTATCCATCTCCTAGCTGAATCAAATCCTGAATGGTTTTTTCCTGAGTTTGGGGGGTGCCTCTCTGCACTCATTCAGACTTACTTAGTTTCATTGAGATCACTAGTTTTAATTTGTTTTAGTTGTTACAAGCCTCCTTTCGTTGTGGGTTTCTGCTGAGGTTCCACAGTTCTTATGCAGGGCACTGATGTCTGTGTTTGGTGAAGCAGGTGCCTCTTCAGGTTTTATACAGCAGTTGTCATGGGGAGGGTTCCATCTACAGATGAATGCTAGGATATCGCCTAGGAAGGTTTTGTTGGTTCCGGTTCTGGGTAGATGAGTTTTCACAGCCTGAATGCAGGTGTAACATGCTTGTTGGGGTTTCTGTCCTGCCTAGTTCCCTCAGCCGGTAAATCCCAAAGATAATCACACAGAGGTCTACATAAGTTATAAACTGATTGGCCCATTAGCTCAGGCTTCTTATTAACTCTTATAACCTATATTAGCCCGTTATTCTAGTATATGTTAGCCACATGGGTAGGTACCTTTTTCAGTGGGGCAGGTCACATCTTCCTTCTTAGGTGTCTGGACAGAACTGGGAGGAATAGGTTTCCTCCTTTCCCAGAATTCTCCTGTTCCCATTGCCACACCTCTACTTCCTGTCTGGTTGTCCTGCCTATACTTCCTTACTGGCTACTGGCCAATCAGCGTTTATTTAAAACATAATTGACAGAATACAGAATTGTCCTGTACTGTGTAGGCTCTTAGGCTACATCAAGATGAGAGGCATCTGAAAATGTCTCAACAACCTAGGAGCCCATGCTTCATCACACCAGGTCCAGTCTCCTCTGAGGTGGCATCACCGCAGGCTCCCAGGCACACGAAGAGTAGCTAGTGTGGAAGGAGTGTGACCTCCTGTGTAAGACAGGGGTGTCCCTAGGCTCCCAAACACTCAGGGCTAGCTAATCTCCCTCCAGGCGTCATGCAGTCCGCTCCATGCTATCATGATCTCCTTTGCTTGCCCTCCGCTTCCTCTGCTTCTGCAGAACAAGGGTGCTAGCAACTGAAGCCAGGGCACTGTGTGGGCTGTGCTGCAGTTGCCAAGGTTGCTTGTGCTGGGCCTTGTTTTTCATAGACAGCACCTATGAGCACAGTTCTGTGGAAGGACGATGCCATGGCTGGCTGTCCCTACGGTACATGAACTGTGCCGATGGTCCTGGGACAGCTGAAGTCTCTGCGGGAAAGGGTGCAGCACAGGTCCCTCCAAGGGATGCAAGCTGGGACCGTAAGGACCTGGGTTCTACAGCCACAGGGTCGTAGGTGGGTTTCCAGTGAAGACTGCTGGGTGTCCCTGCTTACCTCTTTCCCTCTGGGAGAAAGACTTTGGGTTCAGGTTGTTCCTAGGTCATTAGAGCAGCAGAGAAGGGGCTCCCTTCCTACTCTGCTACATCCAAGGTATGCATGCTCCAAAGCATCCCGGTCGCATGCTCGCTGCACACCAGCACCCTCCTCCAACGAATGCAGCTGCTCACTCCTTCTGTGGTTTCTTTTGGTTGAGGGGAAGGTGTTGGCCTCATGTCTCTCTTGAATTTAACAGCATGAATCCTCCTGGTCGTTTCCACAGAGAACCTTGACTGAGAACATTTTATCTTTAAGCTACACTAGTTCCAAATCTTGTGAATTTTTATTTGACAAAAGACATGTAAGGATGTTGACGTACATGGTAGGATGCCAAACTTGCCTGCCCTTTGGTCATGCCCTGCTGGGTGGCTGATCTGAACACAAATCTCTCCTGCCATTAGTGACAGGCCAGGCAGTGTCTGCACAGCTCACCCTTGTCTTTGCATGAGCTTGAGCTGCCTCATTTACAAACCCCCGAGCAGAGCACAGAGATCATTGGTACCTCATTGCGGAGAAGATGCCATGCTTGCTTACCCTCACCAGCTGTGAGCTTAAGACCCTTGGAAAGAACAGATGGGCATGCATCATGTCTCGCCCACGGCTCTCAATGTCATGGCCACCCAAATGCACACCTGAGGCTGGCAGTGGGCTTGTTTTGGACACTGTGCAGCCTGGCCCTGGCATTCTGCTGTTTCCTGCTGATTACCAAAGGAAATCGGTGCACCACACATGGACAGACATGTCAGAGACACTTTTAAAGGACTTTAATTATTTTTCTTAATGTGACCAAATCCCAGAGTTACAAACCTTTGTGGAAGACACTATAGTCTTGGCTTGCTTTTCACTGGTGACCATTTTCACTGGTGACCAACAGTGCTGTCCACTGTTCTATCCTTCCGTGTAGAAAGCAGCCCACCTGCTGGAGGCAGCTGGGAAAATCACAGGAAGTGCTTCCTTGCAAGAAGGCATCCAACTGGACCCGCAGAGCAGGCCGAAGCCCCTGAAGCCCCTTAGGTTCCCTCTGTAGAACAGTCCAGGGTTCACCCTTCACTTCTGCTGTGAGGAAGTACGGCCAAGCGGTGATCTCTCTACCCGTTCTTCCTTTCGTATTTGGGAAATCCTCGAAATAACATCACAACTGAATTTCTTTAGGAAATGGCTGTTCTGAGCCTGAACCCGGGAGCGAGGCAAGCCGGTGGGCAGAGTCCTGCCCCTAATGAGGCCCAGCACTTCAGAGCTTCTGAAAATGTGGCTCATCCCATGAGCAGGGAAACAAGGGTGAGTGAGACTGGGGGAGCAGGAACAGGCGGGTAAGAGACGGGCGGGAGCTGGGCACTCAACACCTGGAGTGCCAACCTGCCCTTTGGGGTTCTAGACCGTGCCTACATGCCTTCCCATGCAACTCAAATTCAAGGCCAACTCACTCTAGTAAAGCTGAGGGAATTTTCCAAGACACTGCAATGGGATTTCTGAACTGTGGTACATTCAGGACACTGTGGGTTCCCGAAGGGCAGGTAGGGTCACTCGGTTAAAGGGGGACTGGGCTTTCCTCTCGTTGCTGGATAGAAGAGGCTGTACCAGGTTCCTGCCTCGAGCTCGGGAATCCTCAGGGAAGATAGCCCAGGGGAGCCCACACGGGGCACTGTTCAATGAGGATCTGTCCTTGCTAAACCACTCATTGGCTATGACTGTGACCTGACTCCTCCCTGGGCTTTAGAAGCCACCTTCCTGCCACCCCAGTCCAGAACCGATGGGGCCTCCTGACCTCTGCAGCACAGAGAAGACAAATCACAGACTCTTTCAGTCCAACCTTTTAAAGGGTTTTCAGAGGGGAGGTGGAGTCAGCCGGACAGATAGACAACAGTAACCCACACACCCACAAGGACACAGGCTCTGCTCGTGGGCAGCCAGCCTCTGGCCTTCCTGCCCTGGACGGAGAGGCCATTGGCTGAGTGCCTTCGACAAGGCACCCACGAATGCGGTCCCCTAACTCTATGAATTTCTTCATGGCTGAAAGCCTGACATAGTGCAGCTTCCTGAATACGTCTCTGTGAGATCCACATTTTCAATGGCTCTTTGTGAAAACAGCCGGCTCCAAGTGAACAGCTGCTCTTCAAGATGAGTGTTTGAGCAGGAAGCCGTTGGTAAGCACCTACCGCCCTGCAGGCATGCACAGAACAACAGTAACACACACACACACACACACACACACACACACACGGCAGAGAGAAAACACCCCCGGCTGCTCATCTGGGAAACCAATTCTCCCCCATGCAGTGAGCCAGACCTGGGGTCAGGCTCCTTTGGTGCACAGTGTGGGGCCCACAGACAGCTGACTCCCAGGGAAAGCTGCCCTGTGTTTTGGTGTGATTGCAGAGAGAGAGGAAATGGAGATTCCAGAAATTGGGAATTTTATAGATAACATCTAAAGAGTGATATTCCATTTCCAATTCTCACACTTTCTTTCCTTAAGTGTAGATAGTTCTCAGTTCAGAATATTTTAGAACACGCGCGCATTTGTGGCTGCCACCTGATCATCTGTGCAGGGGCAGTCCGATCTGTTTCTGTCTTAGATTACTTCACTTTGGGGGCTGCTATGACATCTGTTTTATGGGAATGTTAATTGGACTAGAATTCATCCGAAGAGAGTCTTTGAAGTACTGACGATACACACTTAAGCCTTACATCCTGCAGTCAATGCAAATAAATTGGCATGCTCGGGATCAGTGGTCACCTCCAGGCTCGTCTGTCAGGATCTAGCCGCTGTCCATCCGTACAGGTGGTCCTCTAAGTGTCTACAGCCGATGATCTAGGGATCCCCAGGAACCAGCTCATGCATGAGGTTTTAAATCAGGCGTGGGAGAGAGATCCTTTCAAAGAGCAAGAGATGAATGAATAGGAGGATTGCAGTGGTGTATTTTAATCTTCAGAAGCTGGTCAGAGAAGAATATCCATGGTAACCAGAAAGATCCCTAAAGTCGTTCTCCCTTTTGCATACACATCCGGACACCTCCCCTGAAGCATTGGCTCTCTCTCGCTCTCTCTCTCTCCTATTCCAAATCCAATCACCTAACAGACTGACATCAGCAACAGACCAAGAATCCAATCCAGCTACTCTTTCCTAAGCTAGGCATTCGTTAATTTTTTTAAAAAAAATATAATTTTAGTTAGATTATTTAGAGTAACACAATTTTATTACTTTTATTACATTTTTATTGCTATTATTAAATTAATCAAAATAAATATCTAAAATCTTTTCAGTATCTAATACGGTAACTAGGACAGACAGAATTCACCTCAACTACTGTTCTCAAGGCCTTCAACGGTTCCCACCACTCCATGGGCGTGGAGACTCAGAGGATGACCTCGGGAGTCAAAGGTTCCAATCTTGTCACTGAGCTTACCCTCATGCCCTCTCCATGTATGGGAAGGGCAGGGGAAGTCTGGGGTGCATGTGCAGGCTGGGCCTGGACATGTGACGGGATTTCTATAGAGGTGGGCTAGCCAGGTTCCCTGTCCCTGGAGGCCCTCACAAGTGAGGCTCAGTCACCTGCCTCCCACAGGCCCCCAAAGAGGAAGTAAAGGGCAGAAGAGATCATTCAATATGCCACTTCAGGAGGAAATAGCGTCAAGTCCGTCTTCAGAGGCCAGACATGAGGTTTAGCTTTAACCAGAGGACAGGAGTCACAAAGAGTTAAGCAGTCCTGTACCAGGCCATCCCTTCCTGGGGACACGTCCCTCCTCTGGCTGGCACCAGGGTCCCCTCCTTTCTCTCTCAGCATGAGTGTCCTAGAAACATTCCTCAGGGTCATTGTGGGGCAGGGGTGTCTCTCTTAGAACGTCTTTCCTCCCGCTAGAACGCTTGCTCTCTGGCTTTTCTCACATTTTCTGGCAGCAGCAATGTCTAAAGACTCTTCATGGAGTGGGTGCAAGCATTAATCCCAGCGCTGAGGGGGACAAGGCAGACAGAGCTCTGTCAGGCCCAGGCCATCCAGGACTACATAGTGAGTGAGACCCTTTCTCAAAACAACAAAACCAGGGCACTCTTCTGTCTGCCCTGGGTCACAGCTGACAATCAGTTACTGGTGGCCTGGGGCACACAGGTACCTGCGGCACAATGTGTGCCTCCTCCCTCCCTCTATCCTCAGATGTTTTAAACTTTTGCCCCCTTATCTCTGTTGTCTTAACTTGTATGTGCTTGAACTGTTCCAGCGAGCCGAGCATGAAGAATGTCAAACGTGAACGTTAGCCTTCTCAACTGCATCGTCACAGAAAGCCTTGTGTGGAGAGGGGCTCATAGGAGTAACATGTTTCTGTCTCTTCTGCCTTTGGAACCAAGTCCAGCAGGAGGGACATTGCTTCTCCCAGGTTCCCACAGACCCTTCTCCTTTCTCATTCTGGAGCTCTGGCAGCTTTAAATGAAGCTATAATGCACGAGGAAAGGGTGAAGGGCTGTGCTTGTAGCATGATTAATAAAAACCCAGAGACAGATATTGGGGTTCAATCTGAAGATCAGAAAAGCAAAAGCAGCTAGCCACTGGCTGCTACCTCGACCTTAGACAAAATAGGCGAGATTCTGCCTCCACAAATCCTCAGATGGAGACCGTGAGAGAGACTGTTTCCTCCTGCCTTATATTCCTTCCTAGTGCTGGGATTAAAGGCCTGCACCACCACTGCCTGGCCTGTATGACAGACTAGTGTGACTGCTGGGATTAAAAGCCTGCACCACCACTGCCTGGCCTGTATGACTGACTAGTGTGACTGCTGGGATTAAAGGTGTGTGCAACCACTGCCTGGCCTGTACGACTAACTAGTGTGGGTGCTTCCCACTGACCTTCAGGCAAGCTTTATTTATTAAAACACGAGTAACACACCACTATATGTGCTAGTGAGGCACTAGGACACACACAGCCCGTTTCACATGACGGTCCGAAGCAACCGGATATTTGCCCCTACATTAACTATATTAAAAGATAATTAAACCAAAAATCAAATCATGCTCACTGAAATGTCTGCCACGTTGTCTATGTTAATTATAGCCTTTTAAAAAGAAATGTGTCCTCCCATCAGCCGGCGATGGTGAGATGCTCACAGTCAGACTTATAGAGAACTCTGAGCAGGCACGCTGTCACCGTAAGCCTGTGCCCTCCCACACTCAGAGGTCGGGATATCGCGGGAACTCGGGTGCAGTGGCTCCGTGTGTGACCCTGCCTCTGTCTCACGGTGCTCTGTAGTCACCGGGGGACAGTGGGACTGACCCCTCCCATCCTGACGGAGGCTCCAGTTGGGCATCAGTGCTGGGGTGACACCCAGATGGCGGTTTAATGAAGGGTTGCAGAGAGATAATGACAACATACGTTTAGGGAGGCGACACATGGGCCAACGGCCCCCTTCAGAGATGGAGACTAACGATAACAGCAGTGGTCCATCATTCGGTCTCACACACGCTCATTATCGCTTTTAACACACCCACCTCCTGACATTTCCTTGACTCTTGATCTAAGATCAAACACTCCGTCCTGCCCTCTTCAGCGAGACTACTCCGGATAGCACCGTAAGTAGACACAGCAGGACCACAGCCTAGCTCTGTAGCACAAATAGTAAAATCCCAGAGACAGATATGGGCGTTCAACCTGGAGATCAGAAAATCAAAGCAGTCAGTCACTAGAGAGCTCTTACCTCCATGAAATCTTCAGACTGAAAGAGAGCGAGTTCCTGTCTCATCCCGCCTTATATCTCTCTAATGCTGCACCACCACCACCCAGCCTCCATGGCTAACTAGTGTGGCTGCTGGGATTAAAGGTGTGCACCACCACCACCCAGCCCCTATTGCTAACTAATGTGACTACTGGGGTTAAAGGTGTGTGCCACCACTGCCTGATCTGTACGACTGACTGGTGTGGCTAGCTTTGCACTCTGATCCTCAGGCAAGCTTTATTTATTAAAATACAAATGAAATATCACTGCATAGCTCTGCACTCCGGCAGAACCACGGTCTGACCCTAGCTCTGAGATCTGGACCCGCTCTGTCCTCCAGCAGGACCACAGCCTGACTTTGGGATGCACTTTTGCAGGAGCAGACGTGAGCTCCAGGAGTGACCCCTGGGCCTAGACCGGCCAGGTTCAGAACTTGCCACCTTCTGCAGGGCCCATGGCCAAGTCACTTCTCTCTCCTGGTCTCTTGAACTTCACTTATAAACACAACTGTGGGGATTTGCTACAGCACCGGCAGGGAGCATGCTGAAACTCCCCAGTGAACGCCGCTGGACTAAGATGAAAGGGAGTTTGAGTATCTGGCTAGAAGGTGATGATGTCCGTCATAACGCATGCTTTGATGGGGTCCTGTGGCTCGAATTCCCACGTTTGAGTCAACTCCTGCACAGGGTATCTCACCAGCCTCTCCTGGAGAAAGGACTCCACCCAGCACAGAGGCGCTGGGCAGGCGCACAGAAACACGGACGTGATGGGACACGCAGGTGGGTTTGTGACTGGGTGACAACAAAGCTCCTGGAGACACGGAGCAGGATTCCCTGAGACCTCAGGCAACCCACTCTCCAGCCTGGGAAAGTAGTGCCCTACCTCCTCACAGCCCACTTGTCTGCCTAGCTGACAAACTCCACAGCCCAGGGTTCTTCTCTTCCTTCCCAGTGCACAGCCATATTGGACCCCCTCTAGACAATGTCCCACTGGGACTCAGCAAAGCAAGCTGCTGTGGCACACGGTGCTGTTCCATGCCAGGCCGGAGCTCCCCCGGGGTCCAGGCAGCAGAACTGAAGATTAGAAGCTCTCCACCACCTCACCTTTTCCCTCACCGAGTTGATTCCCCACCTCGGCATCACCTGCAGTGAAGCAGGGTTCTCAGAACTCACCTGCAGGGGTTCCTGTGCTAGCCACGGGAGTGGAGAGGGGTGGAGATGGGGCTGTGATTGGGATGTGGAGAGAAGAAGTAAGGCCATCATCTTCCACGATCCGAGTGGGTTCCATCTCACCAGAGCACTTGGCGATGGCCAGTTCTCCTGCTCAGGTGTCACACAGTGTGTGTACTAGGATGAAGCCCAGCACGGCAACCTGAAACTAGCGGGAAGGCGTGCTCTCGTGTCCATGTATGTATACGGAGTTGGAAGCTTCAGGATTTATGACTCGATATAGGCAGAAACATGGCAGAGAGAATACTTGGACAAACAACACTTTGAAAATGGAGGGTGGTGACCTCAGTGCTGGGTGGAGATGTTTGCTGGACACTGTAGGTTTCTATAGCAACGAGGAGCACAACAATCTTGTTTTAAGGGAAGGCTCCAGAGTGGCCTCTCGCTCACATACTGTGGGAGTGGTGGTCCTGCAGGGACATCCACACCCTCTGCTGGGTCACCAGAGTCACGATGCTTGTGAGGTCATCGCTCTGGAAAACAGCATAAGCAAGAGCCTTTGAGTGATTAAATCATTAAAGATAAATTAAATTGGTATAAGGACATTTGATAAGATCAAATCTTGCGCATGTCCATTTTGAGAAGTACACAGGGGATAAATCTGTACTGACGTTATATGCTGTTACCCATGATGAAATTGTCACTGAGCTGAGCACATGACACTGTGAATGAACATACACTTCCATGTGTTCATGCATGCAGACACCCGTGTTCATGCATGCACACAAAGGTGCACTTGTGAGTATGCAGACACACATATGCATACCAACACCCATGTTTACACATGCAGACATATATAGATACCCATATCCACAGCTGCACATGCATGCAGCTGTCTACATGTTCTGTGTAGCTACCATACATGCCTACACAATTCAGACACATGTTCTCAAATGCACACACCTGCAGAAATCTGTGTTCATGTGTGCACATACATGAGGCCCATGTTCAAATCTGCACATGCCAGCAGACACCCATGTTCACATATGGACACACATGTACACCATGCCCCATGCTGGGTAAGGAGGAAGAGGGGTCAAGCACAGGAACCTTCTCCCACCTGCTGGACCTGCTCAGACTTCAGTGAAGTGCCGTGACCACATGTAGAGCGAGGGCAGAGATGTAAACCCATCATCACGCTTACAGCTCAGCTTCGGCCACGTCTGACCACAGCCCCATCTTCTCCCCAAGCTGTCTTCTTAAGGAGATGTCCAGAAGGGTGGAGCTAATGAAGAGCTGTCTTAGCGAACCCCCTGGAAGGGTCAGGTGCATTCTGGATAAACATAACTCTGGAACCACAGGTTTGAGTGCTGGGACCTGAGGCCTGAGGCTCCCGAGCTAACCTCCACATGCATGGCCAGAGCCGGGGAGAAAGGGAGTTACGGGACAGAGCAGGCAGGATGACCAGAGAACAATGCTCCCATGTGTGGCTCCTAGGATGACCTAGGTCACCCTGCACCCTTCACTCCAAAGGCGTTGAGGACAATGACTGTGCCAAGCTGGAGGCAGACTCAGCGACACTCTCCAGGCCTCTGGAAGTTCTCTGGGCACTGAAGACCCAGGTGACACAGTGACGTCCTTACTTCACCCCGTGCTACTATTCTTAGCTCCTCAATGACCTCACTCTCTGGCCCACATCATCAAGTCACTGTCTGTCATCAAGTCAAAGACCTTACAGATGGGGCCACTCCATTCTGTGTGACCATGATGCTACCATTCCCCACTACTCCAGGCGCGGCGCTGACTGCCATTCGGAGCACCCCTGCCCCTTTGTAATCCCAATTCATGTGGGGAAGACCCATGAGCATAGTCACATGTGTTCCAGGACACGGGAGCTGTGGGTGGGACATAGAGCAAGCGTCCCGAGAATTAAGCCAACTCCAAGAGCAAAACCAGATGGCCGTCAGCTGAGAACTTGGATCCACCATGCCTCATGTCCTCTCTAAGAGTTCTTAAACATGATATAGTAAGTGTACTTATGGCTTCAGCCAGCCTAATGATGCCTGGCCTTTTATCAATGTTCTCAGATGTCACCTGCAAATTCAAAGAAGCATTTTGTTCAAGGTTTAAAGATTCAGTAATGCCAGGCTGACACAAAGCAAGACTCTACCAGGAAGGCTATCCTGCAAGGCACTGGCTATTTCTACTTCTAAACCCCACCCACCCACATGCATGCGATTCATCACGTACAATATCCATCTCCTTTGTATACCTGCAACTGTCATGTGTGAACAGTGCTATGTTGAGTGAGACATCTTCTTTCCCAGAGAATAAAGATTATAAACTATATTTCCCCTCTGTCTCTATAGCTAAGGATTACAAAGGGTGGGGCCGTGTTCCTCGCAGGCACCCAATCTGGCCTTCCCTGTCACCATCAGGGCACAAACACCAGGCTCGTGAGGTGGAGGCAACGGCTCAGAAGCTGCAGGTAAGGCACGAACACAACGAGCCACCTCGCTGGTGCAAACAGAGGCTGGGGCTAGACTTCACTCTGAAGACAACCGGAGCCCATCCACGGCATCCCTGAGGTGACCTGTCTCCTAGTGTGGCTTTGGGAGCTTGGACAAGGCTTGTTTCTTTCTTCTGATGCACCCAAGGTTCTCGTTCCTTGGAATTCCAATTGACTTGTACCCTGTGAAGCCTGACCACCAGTCTGCTTGTCTCCTCAGCTCCCGTTCTCCAGAACTCATCAGTCCTCCACGGGCTCCTCCCCTTGATTCCCGTCTCATCCTACGGGGGCATCTAGGGTGATCCTGCCAAGGCCGAGACAGGTCTTAGGAAAGACCACCACGCTGGTGTGGCACACACACAATGCCCGGCACCTCATGCTTTGGGGACATGAATCACACTGCACAGAGTTTAACAGATGGCTGTGTCACGCATGCGGCAAACACTTGGCATGCAGGCCCGTGTCTTCACCTCTAGTAAATTGATCACACCTTAGGGTGTGGGTAGCTCCTGCTGTCACCAAGCCCAGAAGCACACTGAGGCCACAAGTTCTTAGAGGTCAAAGTACAGAGAAAGACATATCTTGAGGGAGATGAGCCCAGGGCTATTTGATAACCCAGTCAATGGGAAAGGGTTCATTGTTTTGATACATTGGATGCAGAGACATATTTTTGCTGACTCAGCAAATAAAAGACTGGAGTCCAATCCAGTGTATCACAAAATAAGGACCAGAGCCAATGGCACACAGCTGCAGTGGTCGGAGTCCAGGGAATTCACTGATGTCCCTTAGCTGCGTACATTGAAACAGACTTCCCAAGTTAAGACGCAGGTCACACAGGCTCATATGCCACAATGGTTCTTTATATATAAGTCCCTAAACCATGTCATTACGATCAATTTTGATCATACACGCAGGAGCTAAAACCAACTTTCCGTTCTCTCTACAAAAGGCTTCATCCTGTGGACAGCCAGTCAGAGGCTATGACAGGAACCACAGAGGGACAGCATCTCAGAGACTTATCACGGCGAATCAGATAAAATGTCCTTTTTCCTGTCTGGATGGTGTCATGTGGTCCACACCACCTTTTACACATTTATTGTACCTTTTCTTACTCTACATTAAAATCTACTTCTGTACCTAAATTTGCATGCTGGCTTGTTTCTTTTTCTTTAAGAGAGACCCCGTAATGGTGCAAGAATCATCCCTTCAGGTCCTGGGGGAGTCCTGGCATTGCCCAGAGGGTCAGAATTGCTGCTGGGGCCCTGAGCCCCAGTGTGGTGGCCTTTGCAATCTTCTTGAATGCTTAGGGCTGGCAAAGTTCATGAGGGTGGCCTCTTGATGGCACAGGGTCTGCCATGAGAGAATGCTCTGGTGGCCACCCACCTCAGCCCTCTTCAGCCCCCTCCACCCTACCAGGTCCGCAGCTCCAGCCAAAATAACTGGGGGAATGTGGATTTCTTGTCCTAGGGGCATTATCTTTAGTTATAGCAGCCTGAGTCACCCGAGACACTGGCCAGGTTGGGTCCAACAGCCCTGCAGGGAATGTTATCACTATCACTTCGTCAACTGTAGAGACAAACAAGGTGCCCACACCCAGGTAATTAGAGGTGAGACTTCTCCACCTCCTGGCTTAGGGTTACCTGACCATGTGTGGAGAGCGTGTGTCCACAGAAATCATATATGCCATTTAGATGTCATCACAGCCCCCAAATTTTCCGGGGAGTCCCTGAGAAGGGGCTACCGATGACGGTGGCATCTGCCCTATGAAAGCCTCGGGAAAGCTAAAAGTCAGAACCTCCTCAGTGTGGGCTTCCTGTTTAAAGAAGATTGGACTGTTTGGAATCTTAAATTGAGTATTTTAATCGCACAATTTGGGCCACAAGTCCTATTTTCTAGAGTAAGGTGCTCTCAGGCCTTGGGTGCAGAGGACAGACCTCCCTCCATGGGGATAACTGTGACACCCCAGGTGTCTGAGCTTCCGTGGAGACACGGGGTTCTAAACAACACCAGCACAGGGCCAGGTGCCGTCAGCCTTCCCACCCATGCAGTGATGCACCTGGGCTAGAAGGGGCATCTACTGACTTCAAACGCCCCAAGACAGGCAGCACAGCTTCTGTCCCTGCCCGCAGGAGTGGGCCCCATGCCTGCTCGGCAGGAGAGGCAGTGGCCAGGGCTGGCCAGGCCCAATCAGGTGTCTCCATGAATGGCTCTCAGGTCTCCTTCATGTGCCTCCCTACCAGGGGCCAGTGTGGCCCACATCCTCCGGGCTAGGAGCCACCCTTCTGTTACCATCATCTCCCAAGCAGACGGAATGGGGACTCCACTCAGGTTGTGGCCGTGATCCCACCTATCAGAATAAATATGAGGTCTGTGGAGCAAGCCGCCTCAGGGAAGAGGGAAGCAATGGGGCTCCTGGGCCCAGGGCTGGAGCTGGAGGGAGGGTGGCCTTGGACGGCTCCTCCTCACTCCTGCCTGTCTAGGAGGAACAGCCCCACAGTCCCAGGCAGATATTCCAAGCCCAGGAATGTGTTTTATAAAATTCTGAAAACCCCGGGAGAGCCTTATGAAACAGCCAATACTCACTCGTTTAGAGCCTATGTCTGAAAATTCACAAGAATATGCTAACAGTGCTCATAACCTTGTTTCTACTGGCCACACCCTAGGCTCAGAGAATGAAGGGTGAGCTCACAGCTGCTGGCCCAGGTGGGAGGAGGCTGGAGCTAGTCTGAGACTTTGAATCCTCCGCACTGACCCCATAATAACAGCTCAGGTGGGGCTTGGTGCTGAGGGAAGCTGAGTCTTGATCCTGAAGACACTGCGTCCATCCCACTCACTGTCCTGCCCCTTAACAGTCCCCAAACCTTGTGTGAATGACAAACACCTCCCCAGCCCCCTACTCCTCCACCCTCCACACCCCCGCCCCTGCAGCCCCCACACCTCCACCTCTGCAACCCCCACACTCCCACCCTCCCACCCCACCCCACCCCACCCCACCCCCAAGGCCAGCAGCAGAGACCCAGAGAGGATCAAATCAATTCACGCACCATGCAATCTGGAGTCTGGAATGTCACCTGGGATTGAGCTGTCAGAGTCAAGCTGGGACCCTTCATTGTTGTGTTATTTTTGGTGGCGAACACCCCAGACTGTACACACAGGAATTTCCAGTTTCTGTAACAATATCATCCTGAACAGACTCAGGCTGGGCTGCCAAGGGGACGGAAAGACAAAGCCGGCTTTCTTCCCCTTCATTTGGGTGAGAGTTGGCTACACACACGGAGCTGCAGCTGCTGGGTCAGGCCGGTTCCTGGAAGGAGAGGGCTTTCCCCAGGGCCCTTTGTACCATAGCTGACTGCCTGGCATGACCGTGAAAGGGAGGAACTCATTTTGCCTCCTGATTTCAGGAGTTTCAGGCCGTGGGACTCAGTGGTTTCTAGGCCTGCACAAGGCAGAAACATGTTGGGGACGGCAAGGCGGGGCTGCCCACCTCCTGGCTGTTAGGAGGTCAGGGCAGAGGACTAGATGTGAGGAGCAGAGGAAGCCCGGAGTGTGTGAGGTCGGCACGAGAATCCCCAATCCCAGATAGGTACAGCCTGAAGACTTCCTGCTGGGATTAGCTAAACCTGCCTCACAGGCCCAGTGGTGCGTCATAAGCCCCGCCTCCTGGTTCATCTGCTTGTACCAGCACTGACTCCTTCAGCTGTGCGCAGTAACTGTTCAACTCTCCATAATAAACCCGCTAAACTTCTGGGACACTATGGTTTTTTCCCAGCCTTTCTGTCTTGTCTTTGTTCCCTTGCCATTCCAGCAGGTCTGTCCC